GGAGGAACAGCGCCTCCCGGGAGTTGGCTGTGCTTGGAAGCTGAGCCCGACAGGACCACCTGCTGGTGAGTGAGCCCGGTTCAGTGGGGGCTGCCTACCCAGCTGGGAGGCGGCTTTCAGACCTGGAAGGGCTGTCCAGCCCCCTGCGGTGTGGGACACGCCCTTACAACTTGGAGCCTGAGGCCCTGGGGCCAGAGGAGCCCACCCCACAGTCTCGACCAAGTTGTGGGCTTCCCGGTCCCCACATGGCGGTCACGGGGCAGGCTGGATGAGCTCACTTCCTTCCACATCCTGTAGCATCTCCTGGCCTTAGGGCCAGGAAAAGGGAAGTGCTGGCGCTGAGAGCCCTGGCAGAAATCTCCATAGTGCTGCCAGAAGGGCCTGGGGTAGGGCCAGAGGGGGAGGGAAGCGGCACTGTTTCTCAGTGGGAGCTGGGGGTGTCACCATGACACCACCTGAGGGGAGGGGAGGGGGTGACATGCTGCCCTTCACCGAGCCCCGTTCCCTGCTGGTGCCAAGGATTGCTGGGTTGGAGGTTCCTTTCCTTTGGGAGTCCTGTCCCACCTCTCCCTGCCCTTCCCTGGGCCTCCCCTCAGGCCAGCTTGAAAAAGGCACTCTTGGGCCCATCTCTTTTCTTCCTCTTCTCTTGCCCAGGGCTTTCACCAGGGAGATCCATTTTCCTTTTCCCTACTTTTAAGTTTTGTCTGCTTCTAGCCCTGGAACACTGGGGAGGAAGGGTTGGTGGCCCCACCTGAGCGCAGCTGCCTAATGGCCTTGCTTCAAGGGGGTTTGGGGGTGGAGAAAACTGCCCTGCCCTCCAGGGTGGGAGTGCTCAGAAAGTCAGGCCAGTAGACATGCTTTGGGGGGCACTGGGGTTTCTGCTTAGGCTTCAGGAGGGGTGACCCTGGCACCCAGTGAGATTTCCACTCAGGATGCAGGAGCAAATTATCATGTGGTGTCAGGCTTGGACACAAGCAAGGAGAGCCTGCTGTGGGGCGGACAGTCCTGATTCCCCCACTGCCTTCCTGGCCTTGCCGAGACTCAGACCTGGATCTACCAGGGTCCTAGGGAACCAGGCGGGAGCCCACACACACCCCCACCCCCCACCTGTTGTAACTGATAACTGGCCTGGGTCCACCCCCCCCCACCCCCGCCCCCCGCTTCAGTTGGAACGTTCCATTCCACTGAATGGGGAGAACTGTTCCCTCCGTCCTGGTTAGTGAGGGGTGGATAGGGATGTTGCAGCACTGCTCGGTGTGAACCCCCAGAACAGTATGCCCTGACAAAGGTGACCCCCACCCCACCCCCCATACCCTGTTGGGCCATTGCTTCCTACTTATAGGGACACCCACTGCCCCTGCAGTTTAGGCTCCTCTTTCAGAACTGCTGCCTGAAGCCGTGTTCCTTCCATCCTCCCAGGGGAGCAAGCTTCTGTTCCCCCAAGAGTGTGGGTTTGGAAAGGGAGGTGAGACGTCTATAGCCAGGTTTGAGGAATGAGGCTGCACCAAGCTCTTGCGTGGAAGTGAGGAATGGAGTTTCTGAGCAGAGTTGTCTGGACCATGGTCACAGCCATGATGTGAGCCTCCTGGGGGTGGGCAGGGGAAATGACCAGAGAGTGCCTGTGACTTGCTAGGCCTTTCCCCACTCTCAGAGTAGGGGTGTGGGGAAGGCAGCAGGGATTTGCAGTCACCAGATTGTCCCCATCCCCCACCAAAGCCACAGAGTTCTCATGTTCTGTATGGCGGGCCCTTAGACCCTGTAATGACTTTGAAGTCCTACTGGTCATAGCCCAAAACTCACCTCCACAGTGTCCTTGTCACTCTCAGGAGACAAGGAAGGTATCTGCACTTCCCTGCTTCGGGGCACCCTCCTTGCAGGTTCCTCATCTGGCCTGAGCCCCCCCAGTTGCACTCAGGGAGCCAGAGGGACAGAAAGCTGGCTTGGGCTTCAAGGGCTGTCACAGGTGTGGACGGAAGTGGAGCTCTGACATGGGGAGGCCTGGAGCCCTGCTAGCTGAGACGTGGGGAGTGACTTCTAGGAACCCCTAGAGTCCATCCTACAGCTCTGAGCAGGACAGAGGGCGCCCAGCTCATTTCCTGGGGGACAACTGAATTCATATCTGCTCCCTGAGGACCTTTTGCGGCCTGCAGACTGTGCTTTGGAAGAAGCCTGGCATCCTGGTCTCAGTGTCCCATTTAGAAGAGGAGGTAGAGGAGTGGCAGAGCCGGGACTGGGGGGTGAGGACCTCCTGCCCCACCCCTCAGGGAAGTTCCTAGTCCCTCCAGGACAGTGGCTCCTTGGGCTGGTCCCCCTTAAGCTCCCTGTACTGTGGAACGGGGGTGAGGGTCCTCCCTGCCCTGGTGGGAGGCCCTGGGGGGGAATGAAGTGCAAGTGTGGGCATCTGCTTTGAGGACCTGAGGCTTCAGGCCAAACTGGGTTTGTCCATGGGCTCCTGAACCTGCCTTTCTGACAGTGTGCTGCCGTGGTCACTGTCCCACATAGTAGGACAGTAAGGAAAACTAACAGGAGGAGGCCATGGCTCCCGTCCCCTCCCATGAAGCTTCACTGGCCCCGACGGGTGAATCCCAGGTGTTCGTTCAGCTGAGCTTTTCAGTTTCTAGAAGCAGGAAGAGAGCCTTGTCTTGGGAACCAAGCACCAGACTCAACCCCGATTGCTCGTCAGCCCTCTGGACCTGTTCCCTTGGGGAGCAGTATGAGGCCAAGGCCTGGTGGGCCAGGAGGGGTGGGGATGTGCTCAGCATGTAGGCAGTGTGTTTGAGGCAGCCTGACCATCGTGATGGGACCTTAGCAGGAGGGAGGTCAGCAGGGCCTAAGGCTGGGGTGTCCGTGGGGCAGTGGGCCTGGTGGGTGGGCGCCCTCCTGCCTGGCCACCCACACTGAACTGTCCCTGCCACTCATCAAGGCCAGTGGCCTGGAGAAATGAGTGCTGCTGGTGGGGCCTAGACCTGCTTTGGTCTGGGGTGGGCCAGGCCTTGCCATCTCCTCTGTCAGGGCAGAAATCCATGCTTATGTCCAGACCTTAGGCGGCCTTGTCCTGGCTCCCATGGGCCCCTGTACACCTGGGGTCTCGTCAACTACCCAAACAGGTGCTGGGCTTGTGTTTTCACCTCTGTGGCTGAGGTGGGTTTGCTGGGTGTCAGACCATCCCCCTGTGTGGTAGAGGCATGTCTGAGTTGGGGTCTCTTGCTGGATCGCAGCGCATTGACCATGTGGGGTTGTGAGCTGGGTCAGGTCTCTGCCTTCAGAGCTGCCCTGCAGCTGGGATTGGAGGCCAGGCCCATGGGGTGTCCTCCCTGGGCTTTGACTCCCCCAGAGTGAAGCAATAACAACCATAGAGTGCTCTCCTGTTATCTGGGAGGCGACTGAAAGGGCTTTATGGAGACAGCATGTCCTCCCGATAGCTAGGCAGGCCCCTGACAAGAGTGCTGTCCCTGTTCACAAGCAAAGATGAGGAGGGACACTGGTGTGATAGCCTCAGTCCTGGCCTGTTCCCATGTCCCGTGTCCACACAGTGCCTGGTCCCCTCCCTGCCATCAGCTCACTGGAATAGGCAGGTGGCTGCCTGGGGCAGAGTGAGCCAAGCTCAAGGCTGGTGCTGCAGGCCCCAAGCAGGTGTGTGACCAGTGCCTGTCTTCCAAATAGTCCCATTTCCACATCAGTTTTCCCTGAGGTCACATGGGTGCTCATCGTGTGAGTAGGCCTTGGGGGAAAGGTGCCCAGTATGGGGGGCTCCGAGGCCGGGGGGCTCCGAAACAGAGGGCATGGTGAGGAAGAGCCAGAGCTGGTCAGATGGCCAGGATCTCACGAGCTGCACCTCTCCTGCTTTCCCTCCTTCATTCCTCAGATGCTACTTTGTCACCTGAATGGAAAATGGGTCAGGTCCTGGCAAGGGAGGGGCTGCCCAAGCCGCAGACTGGGCGACGCTGGGCACCGGCCTGGAGCGCAGGGCTCAGATTCCCGCTGTGCTTCTTGGGCCCAGAAGCGCCTTGTCCCCTCCCTGCCATCAGCTCACTGGAGCAGGCAGGTGGCCAAGCCTGGGGCAGAGTGAGCTGAGCTCAGGGCTGGTGCCGCAGGCCCCTAGCAGGTGTGTGACCAGTGCCTGTTTTCGTAATAGCCCCGGCTCTACCCTGCGCCCCTGAGCCGAGGAAGCGGCCCACCAGCCACTGCGGAGCAGTGACAGTCCAGGAGAGCCTCTAGGGGGAAGGGAGGAAGGAGGAGGAACAAAGGCAAGCGTGCTGGCCCCGCCCTCCCAGCCCGCCCACCATGTGTCAGTCAGAGGCACGGCGAGTACCGGAGCTCCGAGCGGCGAAATGGTGAGATGCTGCCGGCTGCCTCCTAACCCCGCTGTGCCCCGCCACGACCTCCGCAAGGTCAGAGTTCATGTCCAGCGGCCCCGAGGTGGAGGTGGCGGCAGGGGCCCGGGGGATCAGCCCCCGAGGCTGGAGGGGCCTGGCCCGGGGGGCCTGAGTCGGAGAGCCCGCTTCAGGTACCCAGGGAGGCGGATCGGGCTGGTGGCCCACTGTCTGTGCTGCACCTTAACTGCTACCCCCCTACCCCCGGGCGTCCCCACTCCGCTGTGGTGCAGCTCTTCCGGGATTGGTCCCTGTGCTTCTGCAGTGAACTGGGGGGCGGCGGCCATGGGAGGGGGGAGCAGTGATTTGTCCAGCTTTGCTTGGCTCCCCACCCCTTCCCGAACCTTTTTAAACCACAGTAGGGTGGGATGGGAGAGAAAACTAACGTAGGGAGTCTGGGGAGCACTGGAGGTGCCGCACTTTAATCGCCATCACGGAATTGGGTCCAGCCATTGGTTCAGTTCTCCATTTTTTCTGCTTTTAAGTATCAACTGAGATGCCTCTTTGTTCCTTGGTTTGTTCAGCAAGTGGGGGCAGAGGACACAGCGCTGAGACTGCACAGGAATAGATGGGAGTCTTAGGCAGCTGAATGCAGTCTTTACAGATCAGGAAACTGAGGTCAGGGAACATTCTCAGAATGGATAGCAGTGTGGTCTCTTGATGGCTGCCCTGGGGCCTCAGGAGCATTTTCCAGGGCTTAGGCTTGTGAAAGGGGACTTGGGCCTCACTGATACGCCTCAGGCCGCCAGGATTCTAGTGGGAAGGCGGAGCCTGTGCTGAATGCACTGGGTTTGGGCTGGTGGGACCTGGGGAAAAGCCCACCCACCTTTGCTGAAAGGAGGGGCCTGGGTCTGGTGTGTGGTCCCAGCAGACCTGTGAGGTGGCCTGAGGGTGAGGAGGGCAAGTTACCCCCACCAACCTGGGAATCGGTTTTGGAGAACCTAACCTGATAAATGACTATGCAGATAGATGGAGGTAGCTGTTAGGAGGTGTGTGTGTTTTCCTTGGCGATTTTGTCAGGCCGAATCGCTTAATATATGAGGAAATGAGAGGCCTGGGGCTCTAGAGAATTCCCCAGACCCTGCAGTTGAGTGGTAGCAGTACTTCCCCCACTGCCATGTGCTGCTGTGCTGATAGGGGCTCTTGGAGATCAGACTATCTCCTGGTGCCCTGGGATGGTGGGGGCTGTGAGGCTGGCTCTGTACCCCGTCTTCTCTGTGCTGTGCCCGGTGGTGCTTAGCCCTGAAAGGCCTTGCTGGGGCCCCTCTCATGTTCAGAAGCTGCTCCCTTTGGTTAGGAGCTGGGCCTAGCCCTCTGTGTCTTGGCTGTCGCGATCCCGATCCCGATCCCGTGTCCTCCCCAGCTGGCAGGGTGAGAGACTGGGAGGTGAGTCTGCCGACCAGAGGCAGCCAAGCCCTGACTCAAAATGAGGTTGGGATGAGGGGCAAGCTTGCTGAGGGCGGGGTGGGGGCTCCCAGTCCCTGCCAGACCCTGGCTGCTGACCCTGTCCATGGGTGGACGTGTGCTCTGCAGGTTGCACTTCCCCCAGCTGGCTCTGAGGCGGAGGCTGGGTCAGCTGAGCTGCATGTCCAGACCTGCCCTGAAGCTGCGCTCCTGGCCCCTGACGGTTCTCTACTACCTCCTGCCCTTCGGTGCCCTCAGACCACTCAGCCGGGTGGGATGGAGGCCCGTGAGCAGGGTAAGTGTGTGCAGGCTGCTGGCCTGGCCCGCCTCCAGGCATCCTGAGGTTGGGACCCAGGAGACCCAGAAGGAGACATCTGTTAGATTAGAGGTGATGGCTCTGGGGGCTGAGCCTTCCAGGAGGGTCGTTTTGAAAGGCGAGGTGATTGAGATGGCTAGTCGGTGGCTGTGTGCAGAAAGGTGACTGAGGGCTCGCTGTCCACTGTCTGCTGTTTCTGCCTGCATTCATGCCATTTGGGGACTCTCCTGAAAGGAAACCACATTGGGCATTCAAAAAAATGGCGTTTGATTTCTTGTGTTCAGGCACATGTGAGCTTAGAGGTGATTTTGAGAAGAATCCAAATTAATTCCTGGATGCCAGAGGGTGGTTCAAGAGTCTGGAGCCTGTTTGGGCCCTTAAGGGTGGGGATGCCTGGGGAACCCCAGGCAGCTCCCTGGAGAGCGGGCTGACACCAAGGAGGAAACCTTACTCCTAAACCCTTGGAGAGCCTGGGTGGGAGTGGCGAGGCCTTGAAAGCTCAAGGGCACCTGAAGGGCCCTGGGTATTAGACCTAGGGTCACTCGGCAGCTCTGGCTACTCCAGTGGACAGGAGTCAGCTGGGAGGAATTCTGGGAGCCACTAATTCAACACCTTCTAGAGGTGTTTAAAGTTGGAATGAAATTACTTTTACACCTTGGGGATTTGATGTCATGGTTGTGTTCAGACAAGCAGCAGCCACCAATTAGAGGCAGGTCCCACTATGTCAGTGGCACCTGGAAGGGTCGCATGGCCCTGAGACTTTGGCTGGAGGGGCTGATTCCCTTGTGGACTGGCCCATAGGAGAATGGCACTGAGTGCCAGGCAGGGCTCATCAGGGTACGTCCCACCCCTCTGAGCCTGGCCCTGGTGACAGCGCTACAGCGAATCTGCACGATGCCCAAGTCCCTGACCGTGTGTGTGTGTGTGTGTGTGTGTGTGTGTGTGTGTGTGTGTGTGTGTGTGTGTGTGTGTGTGTGTGTGTGTGTGTTGGCGTGTTGGCATGTTGGCGGGGGTGAGGGGGCTGGTGTCCTCCTGCTTTCTGGTAGGACGAGGATGTTCACTTTGGGCTGTAGACTTTCCCTTGCACCTGGGGCCTCCTGCTTCTTTCTGTGGTCTGGGCATAGGCAGCATCGCCTCCTGCCACAGCCTGTCTGTGACGGTATCAGATCCATTTATGCTCCCTCCCCCGATTCAAGAAATAAGACTGTGCTGGCCAGTCTCTCCTGGGACTGGGGCAGCTGCTGCTCGATTTCTGCATAAAAAGACTGGAACACCTGAGTTGTAAGTCACTGTGTCACGGTCCAGGCCAGTACTCGGCTGGTGGGAGTGTTTGACAGGTTCAGTCTGGTTCCTATTGAGAAACAGCACATCACAAAGCCAGCGTGGGGTGCCTGGGCCTCCTGATGTGACCCTGCCATGGGGGGCAGCTGACTGGGTGGGGGTTGGGGGGGTACGACAGCAGGCTGTAAATGTGGCTGACACCCGCCCACCTGTGGCTGCAGGTGGCCCTGTACAAGTCGGTGCCCACGCGTCTGCTGTCGCGGGCCTGGGGCCGCCTCAACCAGGTGGAGCTGCCGCACTGGCTGCGCAGGCCCGTCTACAGCCTGTACATCTGGACCTTCGGGGTGAACATGAAGGAGGCCGCCGTGGAGGACCTGCACCACTACCGCAACCTCAGCGAGTTCTTCCGGCGCAAGCTGAAGCCGCAGGCCCGACCCGTGTGTGGCCTGCACAGTGTGGTGAGGCTTCCACGCAACTCCTCCCTCCAGACATGCCAGTCTTGTTGCTGCCTTTGGGAACCAGTCCCAGCAGCCCCCATGGGTGGCCTGGTGGGCGTTCCTCCCAGGGAGGAGGAGGCCCTGCCCTGTGTCCCCTCCCGTCCTCCGTGACCCCTCCTTGACAGCAAGCCTCTCCTGGCCCTTGCAGATCAGCCCATCAGATGGGAAGATCCTCAACTTTGGGCAGGTGAAGAACTGTGAGGTGGAGCAGGTGAAGGGGGTCACTTACTCGCTGGAGTCTTTCCTAGGCCCGCGCACCTCCGCCGAAGACCTGCCCTTCCCCCCAGGTGGGTCCTTGCCTGATTGCAGGCAGGTGGTCCTGCTGCAGTGTGACGGGCTGGAGGTCAGAACACGAAGTCCCAGAGTAGGTCGGGGAGGGAAGGGACGCTGGGAAGGCTGGAGAAACAGGGCTGGCCCCTGGGCCCGGAATCACTGCCCGGAGCCTGTGTCCAGGCTGCCTGCCAGCCCTGTGCTGGGTGGCATCAGGTGCTTGTCTGAGAACCTGGCCCTCGTGTCTGTTCCCCACAGCCACCTCCTGCAGCTCCTTCAGGAACCAGCTGGTCACCCGAGAAGGGAATGAGCTCTACCACTGTGTCATTTACCTGGCCCCTGGGGACTACCACTGCTTCCACTCCCCGACTGACTGGACTGTGTCCCACCGGCGCCACTTCCCAGGTAGGCCGGGGGTCGGCACAAGACTGAGAGCTGCCTCCGTGAGCCCCAGACAGAGGTCCTCAGCTTCTAGGTGTCAAAGGACCCAGGCTGCAGTTTGGGGTGCTGAAGCTAAGTTGATTGCTTTAGTCTGGAAGGGAGTGGGCAGTGGGGGATAGGCTGGGTCCAGCCCACTCTGTATTTGGAGTGACATGGGGGTGACACTGGGCTCTGGGAGGCTGGTACTCCCGCTGGGTGGGGAGTAGCAGTGTCCCTGCTTTCATAGGCTCCCTGATGTCCGTGAACCCTGGCATGGCCCGTTGGATCAAAGAGCTCTTCTGCCACAATGAGCGGGTGGTCCTGACTGGGGACTGGAAACATGGCTTCTTTTCGCTGACAGCTGTGGGGGCCACCAACGTGGGCTCCATCCGCATCTACTTTGACCGGGTGAGCAGAGCCCAGGCCCTGCTGAAGCTCAAGGGCTGGGCCACTTGGGGTCCCCCTGCCCTGTCTTCTGTGCAAGTCAGCTCTGTCGTGACTAAGTTCTAGGAAGGGCTGGATCCTGAGCTCCTGCTGTGTGCACCCCCCATATTTGCCCGTCTGGAGGTGGCTAGAGTGGGAGGGAATTAACCTCCCCGCCTGGCACTTTGATTCTGCTGGGAACCAAAGTGGAACATCGATCTTGGGTGGGGCGTGCTGACTGGAGGCCCAGTTCCAGGACTGTGTCTGGAGACCGGCCCATGGGCTGAGTCGCTGTCCCCACCTCCCTTTCCAAGCTGGGTTGGGGACAAGCAGCAGAGGTGTGTTCAAGGTCTAGGAACAGGTGTTCACATGCTCTGCCCTGGCCTCCCCCAGGACCTGCACACAAACAGCCCACGGTACAGTAAGGGCTCCTACAACGACTTCAGCTTCGTGACGCATGCCAACAAGGAGGGCATCCCCATGCGCAAGGGGGAGCACCTGGGCGAGTTCAACCTGGGTTCCACCATCGTGCTCATCTTTGAGGCCCCCAAGGACTTCAACTTCAAGCTGAAAGCAGGACAGAAAATCCGATTTGGGGAGGCTCTGGGCTCCCTCTAGAGCCTCTTTCCTGGCTGCAGCTGCTGAGGGATCTTTTCCAAACAGAAAAATGGGAGGGTCTCTTTGAGGGGAACCTCCACCGCTGTCCAGGGAGGGGACTCTCAGGCGTGAGGTCTCACCAGGCAGGACCTGGGTGACCTCTGTTCCTGTCTCAGAGACACAGATGAGGTCAGAACCCCCATCATGCCCTAGGCCTACAGTGTCTCTCTTCCCACCCTAAAGAGAAAGTAAGTGCTGGGATGATCGCAGATTCCGTTTTGGAGAGGTTTTGACCTCTGTTGTATAAACTGGAGACCCTTTGTCTCCTGGGTGAGCATTGTTGGTCTTGGTTTCCATTTAAGACGATAAGTGGTGATGTACCTTCTTGCTGCTCCTCCCATCACTGCTTTTGGTCTCCCCTGCATGGGGTGAGGTGCCTCTGGCACTGACTGTGGGTCTGCCCCCAGAGCAGGGCCATGGGGGCTTTAATGCAACTGCTTTCTGGTCCCCAGTTTACCCACCCTGCTCGTTGGGAAACCCTGTCTTTCCTCTCCACACTTGTGGCTGAACACATCACCCAGCTCTGCCAGCGTCTTCCAAGGATGGTGACCAATGGCAAGGTGCCTTGCAGGCCCCAGCAGGCAAGGCCAATTACTGAACCCACGTGAATGGGGCAGGCAGGCAGTGGTGGCTGGGCGTGTGCCACTCCCCAGACCTACAGTAAATATGGGAAAGTTGCTGCTATTGATTCAGGGGCTTGTGTTGGAGGCAGTGGCGCTTTGGTATAATATATTGGGTGGGAGGGGGAAGGGAGGCAGGGTCAGTGCCTAGAAAACCTGTCCCCAGGTAACAAGTATGCTGTCCTTGGGGAGCCACTGATGGTGGGGACAGGGCCAGGTTTCATGTCTCCTGGGGACTCTGAATTTCTCCTGCAGGAGAAGCCATTTGAACTTTTTCAACTGTATCAGTAGCACAGTATTTTTGTATGAAAAGTGGGAGACTTCTGAACAGTAATTCATTTAATTGCAACATTTTGAAATAAAAAAATAACATAAAACTTTATCTCTGCATTCTGTTCCTGGAGGTGGACGGAGGCCTCTAGCACAGAGCTCGCCGCAGGGCCTGGACACGGGCAAGGCAGGCGTTGATGGGCTGGCGCCGGGCCTGGAGCTCTGCTGCCAGCTGCTGGATGTGCAGTTCCACCTGGGGGCCGAGAAGGGACAGGCTGAGCTGAGAAAGCACAGCCAGAGCCCCGCCCAGGGCCCCCTGGGGCCTCACCTCCTGCAATTCTTTCTGCACCTGCTGCTCCGCTTCCTGGTCCTCAGACCTGGGCTCCTCCTGGCTCAGCTCCAGCCACCGGTGCAGGCTGCCTGCTTGCCGCTGGTAGGACCTAAGGGAGTAAGACACCTGCTGTCCTGGCTGGGGCCCTTGGAACCTTAGGCTTGGGGAGAAGCGTATCAGCTACTTCTGGTTTGGGAGAAGGGCTCCTGTTCCTCTCCCAAACTCCACCTCCAGCAGATGGCAACTCAGGTAGGCCCAGCAGAAACCCTGCCTGTCCCCCAAGGCTGCTAACTCCTGGTAAGGGTCCCTGGCTTGGGGACATGGGCTCTGGCCCCAAGACCACAGGCAAGACAGGACAGCCCACTGCATGCAGCTGGAGCCCCCACCTGTCTTCGCACCTTTTCGTCCCATGTCACACCATCACTGGGTAGACCATTGGCCCGGCTTTCACATGACCTAGTCAGGTTTCAAGTTTTGCTCAGCTTTGTCATCCCATAGGTTAACGACAAAGGCCAAACTGGCCTTCCTGAGCAGGACCAGGGGGTAAATATGCCCCTGGTATGGGGAGGCTGGCAGTGCACACACAGCACAGGCACATCAGCCCTGGCAGCCAGCTCTAGGGAGGCAGCGCCCAGCTGTTCCCTATGGGCAGGCGGCAGGGCTGTTTCTGGGTCTTACCGGAGGTTCTGCTTTGTGGTCTGGTAGTCCTGCAGTTGCTGCTGGATGCCCTCAAGCTCAGCTTCCAGGTCGGCGTGGCCCAGGGCAACAGGAGAATAAGCTTGACCACCCTCCAGGTTGGGCCCAGGCTGAATGGAGGGAGCCTGGGTGCTGGGAGTGGCCCGAGTGCCCACCGCGCTGAGGGGCTTTAGGTACACGCCTGTAGTTTCAGAGCCAAGCCCAGGCCTGGTGCCTGTGAAGTCCCCAGGAAGGAGCAGACGGGAGTCAGGGACACTGGCTAGGGATGGAGGGGCCTGGGGTGTAATCCCAAGGGAGGTCTGCCGTGCTGAAGCCTGTAAAGGACAGATGGACACTGAGCAGGGAAGCTAGGGAAAGGCCTGGGATGGGGCGCTGAGGCCATCCACTGCAGGGGAGGGTAGGCGAGGCCCATCCCACCAGGGCCCTAACACAGATGGAGAAGGTTCCACAAGCAACCCAGGGAGCACCCCTCTAGTCCATCCCACCCCTTCCTCAGGGCCTGGCTCAGCACTGCCTCCTGTAGTTGTTTCTGACCTTTCATCCCTGTCTCACTCTGAGCTGTGACCTTGCCTTTCAGTGAGAAAGGGTCAGAGGCAGTTGTTCTCCTTGTCCAGCCACCCACCTACAACTCGCCTCCATTCCCTCCTGGTGACGACAATGTCCTCTCTGCTGTCACCCCATCACCACTCCGCAGCTCTCCTCTTCAGGCACCAGCTCCCTGTGGTGGCCCAACCCTGCCTGCTACCGTGCCATCCCGTCCCATCCCGTCCTATCCCCTTTGCCCCATTAGCGAGCGCTGGTGCTTTCTCCTCCCTTCCCAGACTCCTCGACTTTGATGTCACCTGCCTCAGGGATCGGCGGCCCCTTTCCTCCTGGGTGACCTCATTGGTTCCCAGGGGTTTACTTACCTTCAATCTATGCTACAAGTCTCAATTTGGATCTCCAGCCCTGACCTCTTCCCTGAAGACCAGACTCAATCCTGTTGCTTTATCTCAAATTTGACGGGTTCAAAACATGCTTCTTGCTTCACCCCAAATGGGTCCCCACCGTTTTCTTTCTTTCAGTAAAAGAACTCATTATTCCCTGAGTTATCCAAGTCAGAAAACCCAGGAGCCATCTGAATTCCTTCACTCTTACCAGAACCTAGTCTGCCTGTCCCACCATGTCTGCAACCACCAGCATCTTTTGGGCGGTCATATCACAGCAGCCAACCATCCTCCACAACTTCCTACTCTCCTTAAAATCCAGACTTTGCCCTCCACCAGGTGCAGTGTGTCTGCAGGCGGGGGTCTTTCATCCCGACCACTGAGATGTAAAGCCTCACGAGCAAGGGCCTCGGTGGGCCGGTCACTGCTGTGTCCCTAAGACAGTGGCACCTACGCTTGGTGAATGAACGGCCTCCCTGCATCTTCCCGAGCCAGGAGTGTTCCAAAAGCAGCGAGTACAGCTATGGCTACAGCATTGACTACACAAGAGCGAGCACTGAGGCCAGACCAAAGAATGGGACCCCAGGTGACCAAGGGGGGCTTACCCCGGCCAGTGTGTCCACCCCTCGCAGTGTGAAGGAGGAAGGCGGCAGCAGCTCTGGGCCTGTGCTCGCGGTGGGGGGCAGCTTCAGGCCAGGGGGCCTCAGCAGGGCCCCAGGCTGGGGCAGGGTGCTGCTTGGGATCAGTGCTGTCAGGGCCTTTGCCATGAAGGGCCTCGTCAGGGAAGGGCCTGCTGGCTGGGCCATGCCAAGGCAGTGCTCCCTCAGCGCCTCAGGCCTGAGTAGAGAGAAGGCAGGAGCTGGTCAGGCCGCGATATCCTGAGGAGCAGGAAGGAAACGGGGCCACCGGCCCTCAGGCCCCGGATGGAGGTACCACCTACTTTTGGGGCCCAGGACCACACGACCTACCCCTGCTTCCCAAGGGTGCCACACCCCAGGGGCCTCTGGCTCTGCAAGGGCTCTAGCAGGAAGTCTGGGCGTCGCGGCTGCTTCCTTGCCAAGCGGACAGCATTGCTGGGAAGAAATACGGGCCCATTCCTCCAGGCTGCCCAGAGCCTGCTGGGGGCCTGAGATCTCTGTGGGGTAGGGGTCATCCAGTCTGACCCCTCCAATCTTACAGGGAGACTGAAGGCCAGAGAGGCTCTTGCCCGAGGTCAGCAGGTGAGGTGGGTTGGCCTGGGTCACATGGAACATCTAGCAATTCCAATGAAGTGAGCCTGATGCCACAGGTGCCTCACCCACGTCATCTCATTTGACCTGTACAGCAACCCAGGCAACAGAGGTGCTCGTCCCATGTCACAGGGAGCCAGGCCCTTGTCAGTGTCTGGGGGTGAGGCAGGCAGGGCAGGACCGAAGCCTGGGCTAGTGGCCCTCCCCCCTAGCAACGTCTCCCCGAGGCTCAGGCAGCACTGGTCGCGGTGGCAGCCAACAGCTACATTGGCACGGTGTGGGTGATGGGGCATAAGGGGCACAAAAAGTGGGGCTTTCAAGAGGGATCCTCTTTCCTGGCTGTAAGGGGAGAAGCGGGACACTGGCAGGTCGGGGCAGGGGGGTCGGGCTGCCGGACAGCTATTTCTCCCAGCACCTGGGAGGGGCAGTCTGCACTCCAGAATGGAAGGGGAAATCCTGCTGGAGAGAGAGGTCCCAGCGGCTCAGCTGAGACTCTCAGGACCCAGTGTCCTCCCTCCTGTACAGTCCAAGCTTTTGCCCCAGGTGGGAGCAAGGAAGAAGAGGCGAGGGTTGGGCTACTCACAGCTCCAGGAGATTGGGGTCCCCGGCATCCAGGGCCAGGCTGCCCAGAGCTCCCTGAGGCCCACGAGGAGCTCGTGACCTCTTGATCTCCAGGGTGGCATCCCCAGCCCCAGCAGTGATGTGGTTGGGAAGTGGACCCTCGAATGTCACTCTCCTGCTGGGCACGGTGGACGTGGGAGGCTGATGCTCCCTGCCTGGGCCCAGCACCTTCTGTTTCCAGAGCATGGCACAGCGACAGACTGCACGGTGGAGACTGTGGGCCTCCTGCAACGGCCTCAGTCAGCTCATGCCATGTCTGCCCACTGCCCAGGAGAGGGGGGAACTCAGGCCTACCTGCATCTGCTGCTGGGTGCGCAGCTGCTGCCGGAAGGCCTTCATGCCAGTTGCGAACCGCAGGAGGCGCATGACTCCCTCCCGGAGGAGCTGCTCGTGGTAGGTCTGCACCGCCTGCTCCAGCCGCGCCTTCTTTCTCCTCCTTTCCAGCACGAAGCTGAGCCACGCGGCCCAGGCCTCCAGGGAGAGGAGGAGGTGAAGCCCAGTTCTCCCTGCTCAGGCTCCCACACTGTGCCCACAACCCACCCTGCCCTCCGAGGCATGGTCCTCTCCTAGGGGGGTGGGGCAGCAGGATGTGGAGCCCCCATTACCTTCGCCTGCAGCGAGAAGGCCCAGAACCACAGGGCCTGGGCTGTGCCCCGCTGCTCCTGCCTCCTGTTCACCAGCTACAGTACAGAAAGGAGAGATTATGGAAACACCTTCAGGGAGGCTGCCCCGACCACACGCCTCGTCACCCTCAGACCCCTCCCTGCCAGGCCCTCAGGGAATGAGCCTCTGGGAAGAACAAAGGCAAAGCAGGGGCAGCGTGCTGGGCTCACAGGAGAAAAGCTGCAGACAACCCAGTGAAGGTCTGCTGAGCAGGATGCAGTCCTGCCTGACGTTTTATCAAGGCTTAGGCAAAGCCTTAAAATGCATTTCATATTAATCTTTGAATTACCCTGATGTATTTTTTTTAAAGTGACACTGTAGAGACAGTGCTCTGAAGTGACCTGGCCTTATTACAGGTCACAGGTGGAAGGAAGATGCTGACGCCGAGAACTGACTTGGGGTGTGGGGGGAAATCCTTGGGAGAAGGGCTTCTCCACAGCCCCCACCTGTTGTCTCCACTGGCGGAAGTAGGACTGGCTGAGTGTCTGGGCCAGGAACTGGGCGCCCTGCCTGCGTAGGACCTGGGAATAGAGAGGGCGCACAGGACGCTGCACCAGGTGCCCCATGCCCGGACCACCTTGGGGCAGCCGCAGGCTGAGGCTCCCAGCCCAAGTGAACGGTCCTCCCATTGCCAGGAGAGGTCCTGGCTGAAGCCAAGGGCCTCCTGCACCAGGCAGGGGCTTCTAGATGACTCCACAGGTCCTCCAGCTCTGATAAGCCATGGCTCAGAGTAAACGGGTTTCTCTGCTAAGCCATCCTCTACCTGGGGAAGACCTGGTCCGAGGCTGGCTTCCCCCCAGCCACCGCAGAGAGGCTCCTGCAGGACCCAAACCACGCAGCACCCATACTGGCTGCTGTGAGCTCTGCAGGAAGGCCCTCTTCCTCCCAGGAGGTGGTTTCTGGGTGGGAACAGCTCCCCCACACGGGAACTGGGGGTTTGCTGCCTGCCTTACCCTCTTCCTGACGCAGCCCAGATGGTGCACCTTCCACCGGGCCAGGCCCTGCAGCAGCAGCTGCTGCGGGTAATGCTGTGCTGCCCTCTCCAGCTGGGCTCTCTGCTGGGCTGCCTTCTGGCCAAGGTCCCGCCAGTGCCGAAACCAGGTCCTGAGACGGCCTATGGCAGATCCGAGTCAGTTTGCTCTTGTGTAGAATTTATAAAAAACGACTATGCCACAGTCAAAGTTTAGAGTGGAGAATGGAGAAGGCTGTGTGGGGACAGTGTTGGGGTGTCAGCTCACACTCAGTGAAAGCACCACATGTGGACAGCGGCCACTCCTCTGAGGACAGCGCTGGCCACCTTCAGCAGCTGTGAGCACCCTGGGGACCAGAACCAGGTCTGCTATTTGCTGTTCTGAACCCCCAAGGGCCCATCAGAGCTACTACTACTGCAGGTGTGCCAGGGCCCCCTTGGACTGACCTGCAAGATGCTGCCCAGGAAACCCTCGGTCTGACAGAGCTGGAGGTGGCGGCTCTGTTTTGTCAAGGGAAGAAAATAAGGCTCAGAGAAGGAGGCGGCTGGAGCCAGGCCTGGAGAGGAGGCCCAGCATCTGCAGGCAGGAAGGGCCGCATCCTGTACTCTGTTTCTGTCTGCGTCACCAGAGTCTCTGAGAAAGCAAACCCTTCTGCTGACATTTTCACTTGGAATTTTTTCCTTTTCTTAGGCCTGAGAGAAGTTTCTTTCAGAGACAACAGAAGAAGGTTGATACCAGGACAATGATGCCAAGATGGGGTGCCCTCCAGGATTGCCAGAGTGGGGCAGGGAAGGTGGATTCACAAGTCTGGAGGCCAAGCATTAGTACTAAATGCTGAAGCTTCTTGGGCCCAGCTTTAAATGCATATATATTAGTCTCACTGTATCCTTATGACAATCCCAAGAGGTGGGTACCATTATTCTCATTTCATATTGGAGAAACGGGCTCAGAGAGGACTTGCCCGAGGTCACATAGCCAGCATGTGACCCCCACCTGCACTTCTTAAGCACTGTTTAACGAGTCTTCTGACACTTTGCCCCTAGTTTGTCGTCCTTCTGCACCCGGCCCCACACCTGAACTACCAAGGTGTACCTGTAACTCGGAGGCCTTAATTAAGCCAGGAAATGGTCCCACAGGTATTGAAGGAACTTCTACTATGTGCTGAGAGCACTGTCTTGTCACATGGTCTAAGTTCCTTGGACCATCGGTAGTGGGCATGGCAATCTCAGGGCCCGCTGCACGCTGCCAGCCCCACAGTCCTGCAGAGCGGCAGCTTCAGGCAGCACCTATAACTGCTTGTCACCTATAACTCCCCACTGTGGCTGCCTCGGCCCCAGACCCAAACTGGTGAGGCTTGTGCAGCACTGGGTGCCACAGCTCTGTCCAAACAGAGACCAAGGGTGGGCTAAGCCCCTCCTCAGCTTCTTTCTTGAGAGTGAACTAGAATCATAGCACTGGTTTCTGGGTGAGGGGCAGCTTGAGGACACAGAGAAGCACATTAAGTAAGGGTAGAGCAGGTGCAGGGTGTCTGCCCTCAGGTTCTGTCTGTAGGAAGGCGGGATCTGTGTTCATCCACACAAACCCTACAGTCAGCCAAACCACAGTTGATGAATTTGCATCCTGGACCAAACTCCATTAAGCCAACCTGACAACTTGACCTGTTTTCTCCATGGTCCAATTTAAACCATTATTCTAACCATGAGCTGTGCCCTCAGAGTGTCAGATTCCCACACTGTGGGACCATGGGTCTGTTCATGCATCTGTGAGCAGAGGCTCCTGTCTGCACCGTCTTCCCCAGGCTGTCTGTTCATCAGGGGGACTCCGTGAGGCCAACCGAGCAAGTCTCTGCTTCCTAAACACACAAGGGCCCAACTACGCAAAGGAGGAGGACCCTCTCCTGACAAAGCTGCCCTGACAAGCAGCAGCCACTGGAAGGCCTTTCCCACCCAAACCACCCCACCCCACCCCAACGACCTCAAATTCCTTTTTCCAGCTTCACTTTCTTATTTCTCTGTACATCTCAAGCATTGGTCCTTTATTTTAACATAAACCAGTTGGCAATCAGTTGGGAAGAGAATATTGTGATGTACTGGATTGAATAGTTATGCCCTTCCAAATTCATATCCATCCTGGAACCTCGGAATTGATGTTATTTGGTAAAAGGATGAGTGTAATCCACTGACATTATACTGGAGTAGGTCGGCCCTTGATTCAGTATGACTTGACTGATGTCCTTACAAAAAGAGATAGAAACACACAGGGAAGAGAGTGACGTGAGGACGAAACACAAGGCTGGAGCGATGTGTCAACAAGCCAAGGAACACCAAGGGCTGCTGGGAGCCGCCAGAAGCTGGAAGAGGCCAGGAGGATTCTCCCTAAGCCTGTGGGAGAGGGCACAGCCCTGCCAACCCCTTGATTTTGGATCTGGCCTCCAGAACTCTGAGAACAGTTTTCTGTTGTTTTAAGCCTCCCAGTCTGTGGTGCTTTGTGACCTCAGCAACAGGAAACTAAAACACATGAGAAGGAAATAAAGACCAAGGGGAAGTGAGCGGCACACCACGGCAGTTCTGGGTCCTTCACAATCCTCTGCTCAGCTTCCAGGACCCTGCTTACCCCAATCCAGCGCCTTCTGGGCCTCCCTGATGGCACAGGCCTCCTGCTGTCGGTAGTGTATCTGCATGGATGCAGCCTCTTGCCACTGGACCAGGACCTAAGGGGCAGACGAAGAACAGAGAGGTGATCACGGCACATCCTGACTTCCTGGGGACGCCCCAGCTCTGGGGGCAGCTTCTTGTGGAGTGAGGCCGGGCAGTGGACACATGGCACTAACACACATTCCAAGAAGTGGCCACCACCCACACAGACCCAGGCAACAGGACAGAGCCCCTGTTCCCTCACAGGAAGCCCAGCATCTCAGTGATGGGGCCAGGAGTTAAATTTCATGCCATGCCATAAAAAGTAAATGGGCTTTCCCTTCTATTATAACTTGTTAAACAGAAGCTATTTGTTACGTGCATGCTTATGAAATCACAGTAACAGAACACTTTAAAAAAGAAGTCAGCAGCCAGGGATACGCCTGGTGCCTGCTCCCGTCATGAACTCCATTCCTCCCAGAGGCCTCCTCCCTTCTGAGCCATGGAGCCAAGCAAAGAGTCCTGACACTCCGTCCAGGGCAGGGGACACACACGCTGGCCTAAGAGCTTTTCTGAGAACAGACTGGGTCTTCACCATATGCAACTGTTTCTCATCCACGGGATGCTTTAAAGTTGTCGGGAACAGTCCCCCACCCTGGCCTTCCAGTAGGGCTCCCAGCAAACCGCTTTCTTCTAAAACATCCCCGAGTCCAAGGACCACCTCTGTCATTTCATTTCTTTGAATTCCCTGTTTTTTGTGGTTTTTTTTTAAGATTTTTATTGGGGAATTGGGGGATGGGAACAGCGCTGGGTAATTGGGGAAAGGGGAACAGACAAGTTGCTGTCCTTTTGTTCTTCAGTCTAGTTGTGGAGGACGTTGCTTCACTGGCCCAAGTTGGCACCATCATTGCGCTCTTCCCAGGCGAGACAGATCAGCCGCCGGCTTCTGGATGGCTGCTCATGGTGGCTGCCAGCCGCTCACGGTAGCCCATGGCAACCCACTGCAGCAGGGGCTGCAGCCTACGCCATCGCCGGCGACTCACAGCAGCCCAGCTCCAGGTTGAGCTGTTGTTCAGCATCTTAGCTGTGGAGGGCAGTGTCACTGGCCCTCTGGCATCCCAAGCCAGCTCTTAACCATTGCGCCACTCGGCCGGCCTGAGTTCTCTCTGTCTTATAACACGTCTTCCCACAGCTACACCCTGTCACCTTGTCCCTCCCCCAGTACATGGGGCCAGACCCCACCATGTGACATTTGGGGGCCATTTCCCACCAACAGTGATCAATGGCCTCACATTCCTGGGATGCTCTATGCTTTTCAGAAAGTCTCGCAACCACGAAACCTGTGAAGCCAATGAGCAGGAGTGAGTGTTCTCTTCTGACAGATGAGATAGAGACGTGGAGATTTATACAGTTTGTCCCAGTGGAAAATTCCATATGTGTAGAAAATACTGTTTCTGATACGAATACTGGTTCACTCATTATGTGCCATGTTTTTGTTTTAATGGATACCAGTTAATAATTCAGCAAAATAAATAAAGGAGGAGAGTTATCCCATTTCCTAGGTTCCTTGTTCAGTTCAAATCTCTGGCACCACCTCCCACACCACCACCTTGGAGGAACATGGTTGCAAGCCCTCCTGGGTGACCAGCTGGCCTCCCCATGCCTCACCTTGAAACACACAGTCCTTCTGTAGTGAGCACGGGCTTGAGAGGTTTTCTTTGCTTCATCCACAGAGGCCATGGTGTTCTCTCTCCAGCGATGTAATACATCCCTGCAGGTACACAGGCCAGGGATGGGGTTGGGGGCGGGGGGGTGACACCAGTGAGGAGAGACAGGGTGAGGTTTCTGTGACTCATTCCTGGTTCTTCAGCCCATTCCTGAATCAAGGACGCCCTATGCCTAAGACATGTTTCACTGATAGCCATCTTTATGTTAACATGGACACGTGACACACGGCTGCTGAGGACCAGGCACTGGGGAAGCACTGGAGACACCGGGTTGAATAAGACCAAACACCATAACCTCACACACTGATGTATATGGGGAACACAGAGCCATAACCAGGCAATAACAATACAGGTGATTCATGCTGTGATAAGAGAGGTACAGAAAGACAAGGAAGCTGGAGAAATGGCACAGAACCTCAAGCATGGGCCTGGGGCTTAGTCTGAGGACTATGCTACTCTGTCTGAGGGGCTGGACAGGCACTTTATGTGACCGTGGAGGGACGGCGGTGTTTCAAGACAAGGCCTACCGCCCACAGGCCACCTGGAACAGTGTGTGCTGAACAAACACAGAGGAAGGCAAAGAAAGGGAGGAATGAGGGAGGCCTGCTGGGGAGGAGTGAGTTTAGAGCTTGGCTTAGCAGGAGCTGGAGGATGGACTCATGAGAAAGCCGGAGCCGAGGCAGTGACAGTGACCTGGCGTAACAGATGCAGATGGTCCTAGAGGTGGAGAGATGACTCTGGAGAGTCAGTGAAGGGCCTGGACAGCCAAGTGGGGAGGCAACTGGCTGGGAACTGAGAGGCAAAGGGTGTCACTGTGGCTTCTGGAGGAGGACAGGTGCTGAAATGGTGCCCCGAGAAGCTGAAAGTTCCAGGTCGAAACGGGAAGGAAAAGTGCCCGGGGAGCAAGACAAAGGGAGAGCTCACAGGCATCCAGGTGAGAGCTGCTTCCTAGAGATCCCTGCTCTGCACACAGCAGGGGTTCAAGACAAGACCAGTGAATGGAGTGCTTGCTGTGAAAAAGCCAAAGCTATGCTCTGAGCAGCATGAGGCAGCCAGGCCTGTTCTCTGCCAGGTCCTGCACAAAATACCCCACCTGCCTGGGTCTGGAGTCTGTTCTCCGATCCTCAGTCTGGGCCAGGGAGATGTTGGGATACTCACCGCAGTAGCTGCCTCTTGTGCTGGCTCTCCCTGGCTGCCACCTCTTGTAGGATGCTCTGCACCTGGCTGTGGTAAGTCTGTAGGAGACCAAGAGAGCTGGAGGCCGCCCCAGGGCCCACAGCTCTCCCTATTACCAGGCAGACCCCAGAGGTGCCTTCTCAAGAGGGATTGTGAAGCCCAGAGCACTCACAAGGGGGCGGGGAGAGGCCAAAAGACCTGAGGCCCAAGGCCAGGAGACCACCCAGACAACTGTCTCACTAAGCCCTCACCTAGTAAGTCAAACCACTGGACTCCTAGACAAGGGGCCACTTTGATGATAAGGCTGGTGTCCCTAGATAGCACTTGTTTTTAGTTTTCTGGTTTGTACTCTGCTGAGCAAGGATGGAAGAACTTAACCCTATGGCTGTAAGACCCACTGTCCAGGGCACTTGGTCTGTTTGAGGCTTGGTGGAATTATTCTGTTCTGGGGAGGGCAGAAAGAACAAGGAAGAGAAAAAAGTCTGCAGAATCCCCTCCACCCTCACCTGTCCCATCCCCCCAAGACAAGGTGATTGGAGGGTAGCAGCAGCTCCTACCCGCCAGGTCTGCAGTGCCCTGTGCAGCATGGTGTGCTGGCTGTGCAGGTCTGCGCACATCAGCTTCTGCTGCTTGGCTCCCTGCAGGGCCAGGCTCTGCGACAGAGGAGAAAGCTGGTGGCCCAGGGGACGGACTCAGCTTGGCCTCCATTTTACATGCAGTTTGGGTGAGCTCAGGGAAAGGAAGGAACCTGGGAGTCCCAGCTTCCTCGTGTATAAATAGGTACCTTTAATGGTTTTGAGGGGATCAAATGGGGCGAGTGCCCAACTTAGGGTAAATGCTCCAGCAATGCTAGCGTAGAGATTTTTTTTTTTTTTAAGCTGAGCCATCCTGCCACCTGTTGGCAGCTCAGCAGCAGCTCAGCTCAGGCCAGGCATCGAACCGCTGTTGCTCAGAGCTCACACTCTTGAGCGAGCTCTTAACCAACAGAGCCACTCGGCCAGCCCCAAGCGTAGAGATCTTTTACCCAGAGTAGGATGCCTATAAATAGTTAGACCAGGAATTTAGATTCAGTAAGTGCAGATAAGAATACCCTAGCATCTAAAAGAACAAGAAATTTTGAGCCGCAATCATCTCATGAAACCAGGCTAACACTCTTCATCTCCTGCCCGGCCTCTTCCTATACTCAGAGACAGGTGGCTTCTGAGGGACTGGGGAGGAGCCCATATGTCTGCTCTGAGTCATGCTGACACAAAGCTCCACCTGTCCACAAGCCACACGTGGGTGGCGTCTGTGCCAAAGCCTTACCTCCCTCCACCTGTTCCAGGCCCAACGCAAGAGCCGAGCCGAGTGGAACTCTGCAGCCAGCACTCTGCCCATCTTCCTGTGGGGAGAGTCAGAGCTCAGTGCTGCAGCCCAGACCCAGCCAGGGCCCTCTAGATAGGTGCTCCTTGAGTCCCTGGATCCTGTCTAGAGGTTCTTAAATTTGGGGTGGAGGGGGGAGGCAAGACCCTCTCTGAAACCTGCCAAGGGATTTGAGCTCTGCCCCAGAAAAGTACATATATAATCAAATTTTTGCAGACAACCTCACGGGCGTCAAGTACCACTGAAGCGAACTCATGTGCACGTAACTGAGGAGGAGGTTAAATGTGGCCAGAGTCTGAGAAGTAGGGGGATCCGCAGAGCACGAAGTGGATACAGAAAGGCTCCAAAGCAGGACAGTGTCTGCAGTGGACACGTGGGCTGTCCTGGCCCCCTAACCACACGGTGTGGTAAAAACTGCCACAGCTGCTGCTCCTGAGGGGTCAGCTATCTCCAAATGGGGCCCATAGGTCCATTCCTTGGCCATGGTCACTTTGAATGCCCCAACCAGCAAGCAGGATGTAGCCCATGGACAGGACCTCAGTTCCATAGGCTATCTCTCCAGTCGAGTTCCTGAGGCTGGGGGTTCCATGTGGTACCCCAGGATCCTTTCACTACAGCCCTGGTTTTGCTTAGCCTGTTTCAGATTGAATTTCTGGAACTTAAAAACCAGAATCTAGTTTTACATGATGCTCTGGATGGGCACTCAGAGCCGACAGGGCTGCTCCTATGATCAAAGCTGGTCTGAGATGGGAAAAGCTTCTGACGCAGAGGTGGCTACTCACTCTGATCTGAGCCCCCTGGCTCTCTCCCTCCAGACGCAGAAAGCCCTCCTGAGCCACCTGTGGCAGTGGTGGGCACAGGCCACTGCTTGCCACTGCTGCTCCTGCCAATGTGCAGCTGCCTGCCGCTGCCATGTGGACCAGGACCTTCGCAGAAGCTGCCGCTCTGCATGAAGGATGGCCTGTGGCAGGATGGCAGGGAGAACAGAATGGGTTACAAAGGAGGAGGTACAGAAGCCAGGAAGAATCTATAGGTCACAAATAATGACCAATACAAAAGAAATAGACCTTCAGGAGCTAGCTGCCCCAGCCCAGAAGCCATCAATAGAAAGGACACAGATGCCCCAGGCCCTGGCCTGCCTTGTGAGTCCTGGTCAAAGGCAGGACATCGTTCGCTGTGGGTCTGGGTCCCAGGTGATGTCCTGAGATCAGGGGGCAGTGAGGGCAAAGGCTTGAAACAGATCCTGCCCATGGTGGGCACCTTTTTAGGGAAAGCCACTTACCATTCTCTCTGCCAAGCGGTTTTCTCGATGCTGAAACATCTTCTGCCACCAAACAGCAAATACTTGTTTCTCTAATGTCTCCCTATAAAAAAAATCATAATCGTAAAGCACTTAAAAAAAAAACTACAAAAGAACAAGAAGTTCCAAATAATTGGGTTTTTCCTATTACACTGTGCTATTAAGAGGCACATAAGCTTAGATGGGGGGGAAGGAAAGGAGAAGCAAAGGAAAGCAGAAAACAACAGCCAAAAAGCCCACAAACAACCCAGTACGTTCCAATCTACTTCTGGTGTCAGCCAAGCGCTCACAGTATGAACAACTTAGACTATGAGACCCGGGTTCTCCACCAGTTCACGGTGAATCACCAACAATGTTCAGTGATCATTAGTCAAAGCTGTGCCAGTCCCTGCTTATCAGCCAGGACACAAATTCTCGGGAGAAGTGGTTAAAAACAGATGTTCAACCCACAAGGCTGATTGAGCAGGTCTGAGGCCACCTCAGAAACAGTACTGAAAACACGCGTTCCAGTTAAGGTAGACAGGGTGACAGGTTTGGGAACCACTGCTTTGTCACTTTTGCCTCAGCCTACCTGCTCACCTTAACGATGTCAAAGCCTGCAATACAGTGCTGGGACAACTGGTCAACAGCCACCAGGGGCTGCACAATGGCAAAGCCAGGAGGCAAAATATATGAGGCAATTGTTTTCAGATCCTGGACTACAGGCTATTCAGATTGTGATCCTTGAGAGATGAGAAACACATAAGGTGAGCCTCTGAGCTGCCCAGGCTTTTTCCTAGGGCACTTTATAGACAGGGAAGGGGGAGGGAGTCTAAGCAGAGTGTGGCAGTCTCACTGAGCAGAGGCAGAAGACTAGAGTTAAGACTAGAGTTCAAGACCACAGGGGAAGGACTGTATGAACCTGTGTGGCCTTCCTAAGTCTCGGCAGGTGGAGACCTCACCCCACCTACCTGTCTACACCTCAAACTGCCACAGTGCCTGAGTGCCTGTGGCCTGGGGGGGCCCTCTGGGCCCTCCCCTCACACACAGGCACACTCACGCACACCTTGCAAGGTCCACAAAGAAAACACCCAGAATCCTCAGGTGAAGCTGCACAGGCAAATTCCAGGGGACAAGCACAGGGGTCGGCAAACTGCGGCTCAAAAGCCACATACAGCTCGCAAGCCACATGCGACTCTTTGGGTACATTCTGTATCAAAAGTTTGCCGCCTGGAAGAGCCAATCCTGTCCCTCACAACAATTTAAAAATTACTTGAGAGCCATAAATATATTTTTACATAATCACCGTTATGTGAATAATATCCTTTACAAATTTTTTTAATGAAACTGTTACCGGCCAAGAGAGTTTCCCCCAAAGAATTTTAAGTTTCTTTCCTATAGAAACATTAAGTATATACATGTTAAGTCTCCTCTCTAGTTTCTTAGTTCCTTAGCTCTTGGCTTTGATTACTTTTCTAACCAGTTTATAAATCTTAGACTAAAGATTGCTCCTAGCCTGAATCCTAAAATTCTATCCCCCTGTTTCTTGATTGTCTTGTAAATCAGTTTCTGAATCCTGAACAATAGAAGTCTCCTGCTTCAGATAACTACTTGAAAGCCTGTAACTTCCTAATGTCCCCCAGGCCAGTAAACTGAATGCCAAACCCATTCTGGGCCCAGACAACTGAGCCACCTGAGTAACAGGCTGAATAGCAACAGGCTTCATGAGAGCTAACAGATTTATTAATTAAAATCTATTTTTCCTCATTCAGAGACTTTGGGGATACAGAGAATACCCCAACAAGATTGCTGGTCACAACCAAAGAAGCCAACGCGGTCTTCCAGGCGGAGCTCGAGACCCCTTCCTTCCAACTGAGATCAGCTGGGGTGAGAGTTTCATGAATCCCCCAATAGGCAGGGACAAAGAAGAGACCTCCTGTCCCTCAGCTTCCCACAGAGATTTCATGGGGATCACGTCTCTCAAGGGGAAGACTAGGTAGGCAGATAGAGGCAGACATTGGGTCTCTGCATTCTGCACGTCCTCCCCTCTCAACCCAAAACTTCTTTTCATTGTAACTATCTACCCCTAAAACAAATGGGTACAACTAGATCAAACCAGTCACTCGCACCTGCGCAGTACATCCTGTCAATCACAGGTGCCAATCAAGTAGTCCCACGCCCTTAAGGGACCAGCCCATTCTAGAGAAGGGATAAAAACCCCAAGTCCTGGAAAGTTCGAGCCTTTTTCCCTTTTTTCCTTTTTGGACGCCCTGCTCTCTTGACCGCTTATTCCTTTTCGAGCCCTTTGAGCCTCGCTCTTGTGCGTGGCCTACTCCAAACTCTTGGGAATGTAATTTCTTTTCTAATAATGGGCCCTTGAGCTATTCTCTACTGCTCGGGCCTACTTCTACTCTTTGAAATGTACTATCTTTTCGAATAAACTACTTTTTCAGTGCTTTACTCTGGCATCTCGTTCAATTCCTTGCTCGAGTTGACAAGGACCTGGATTTCGCGCCGAAAAGGACCCACTTTCCAACAACAAAACTATGATAGTTTTATTTTCATTTTCAATTTTACTTCAGAGCCATAGTTAGCGAGCTGCAGTTTGCTGACCCCTGGTGGCTCTTCCGTCTCAAAAGTTTGCCGACCCCTGCCTGAACTAGCATAGTGGCAGCTGGAGGGTAAGAGCTAAATGGAGATATCAGAGGTTGGACGGGGCTGGAAGATGGAGTTCCAGCCCATTCAGAGTGAAAAGACCTCACTGAGAAATTCAAACTCAGAAAGGCTAAGCCTTAGGCGCAAGAGCCATACCCTACCAAACACTGAAAACAAAATTTAAAAAGACCCACACAAAGAAAGAATAAAATCAGACTTCACAGGATCAATAGGAACCACCAGAACAAACAGAAACCACCACCTGCCCCAAAATACAACACCCTTTAAAGGAAAAAAAGTTGGCAACAGAAACAATGGACTCAATGTTGGAATCAGCAAAAACTTAAAAACAGCTCTAATAAATAAGCTCGAGTACTTAAATGAAAAGATGAACAAAATTAGTTACCAGACAGGGAATCTTGGCAGAGAAATAAAAACTACAAGAATAACCAAATAGTTTGGTGGTTCCTCAAAAAATTAAACATAGAATTACCATATGATCCAGTAATTCCACTCCTAGGTATATATCCTAAAGTATTAAAAGCAGGAACTCAAATAGATGCATGCACATCAATGTTCACAGCAGCATTATTCACAATAGCTCAAAGGCAGAAACAATCCAGGTGTTCATCATCATATGGATGGATAAACAAATTGTGGTCTAGCCATGCAACCGAATATAGCCACAAAAAGGAATGTACAGACCAATATCCCATATGAAAGTACATGTAAAAATTTAAAAATATTAACAGATTGAAATCAGTTATATGCAAAAAAGGATAATACATCATAACCAACTGGAGTGTATCTCAGGAATACAAGGTTGATTTAACATTTGGAAATCAGCAAAACCGTCTGATCATCTCAATAAATGTGGAAAAAGCATCTGGCAAAAGTCAACCACCATTCACAATAAAAAACTCAAAAAACTAAGAATAGAAGGGAACATTCCCCATCTAATAAAGGGCATCTATGAAAAACTAACATACTCAATAGTAAAATACTATTTCTGTTTCCTACTAAGACTGGGAAAAGACAAGTATGTACCCTCTCAATCACTTCTATTCAACATTTTATCGGAGATCCTAGCCATGGCAATAAGGACAAAATAAAGCATACAGACTGGAAAAGATAAAAGTAAGTTGTCTTTATTTGCATATGACATGATTGTTTATGCAGGAAACCCTATGTAATTTAAAAAGGATGGAAAGGAGGGAAATATAAAGAATTTCTACAAATCTATTTTTTTTTAAAGACACAACACACTTTTTTAAGATGCTAGGAAAAATACTTGAACAGACTTCACAAAAGACATGCAAACAGTCAATAAGCACATGATAAAGGCTGAGAGTCAAAATCTGTCATTCAAAGAATGACAAGCATAGGGGCACCCCAGTTGGGACCCCCTCTCTTTTCGAAAGCTGTAACTTTCTGCTCTAATAAAACTATCCTCTGCTACAAACTGGAAAAAAAAAAAAAAGACAAGCGTAAAAGCAGCCCTACCACTAATCAGATTGGGAGGACAGACACGGATAAAGCCAGCTGGAAGGAAACACTGTTTTCCCCGTCACCCAGCAGTTGTAAAATGCCACAAGGACCCCCCCACACACACACCCTCCCTCTCTTGAGTGAGCCCCTGACGAGCTCTGCTACCTTCATTTATTCCTGAGGATACCCATTGTCGACGAAAAACATCCAGCCTAAGAGAAAGCTTATAAGAGTTTATCTGAGTCAAAGTGAC